TTCTTAATATCTTGGTTACTTAATGAATACATACATGTAAAAGCTTATTGTAATCTCTTAAGTGCTGTCAGATATAAATTATTATTCTATTTCTGTGAGTGTTGATAAGTTTGGGCTGATTACTTCTGTTATCCATGTACCCACCTTTTTTTTTTTTTTTGGAAATGGAGTCTTGCTCTGTCACCTGGGCTGGAGAGCAGTGGCACAATACTGGCTCACTGCAACCTCCTCCTTCCAGGTTCAGGTGATCCTTCTACCTCAGCCTCCCAAGTAGCTGGGACTACAGGCATGTGCCGCTATGCCCAGCTAATTTTTGTATTTTTAGTAGAGATGGGTTTTCACCATATTGGTCAGGCTGGTCTTGAACTCCTGACCTTGGGATCTGCCTGCCTTAGCCTCCCAAAGTGCTGGGATTACAGGCATGAGCCACTGCGCCCGGCCTACTCGCCCTTTTAGCCAACAATTTGGTTGTGGTTAGGGGGACCGTTTTTCATCCTAGGTGTAAAAAGATGTAATCAATTACTTCCATCAATTCAAGTATTAACTGAGCATTTAGTATAGGACAACAAAAAGAATGTACATATTGTCTTGTCTTCAGGGAGTTTGCAGTCTTTTGAGGTCAGCAGAACTATGGCCCACTCATGAAAACAATAATACACAAGGTAGTTTCCAGAAAGATTGGTTTATGTCTGTTTTCTTGACTTCCCCAGGTCTAGTTAGCAATACTTTTTATGCAAGTTGTAATTATTTACTGTTCTTTTCTTCCACTGGGTTGTAAATTCCTGAAGAGTGAAGTTCATGTTTATTCATTTGTTGAGCAGTGTGTAATATGTGTTTTGCATGTAAAGTGCTCTCTTTATATATTTGCTGAATTAATGAATAGAGATGCAGGAAGGTAGAGCAGTAGACTCCATAGTGGAAGTGTGTTCACCTTAGGAGATGTACAGAATGATTCAAATGCCATGGGAAGAACATGTTAACATATTTATTTATGTGTTTGTTTCTTCCCTAACCATTTTCTACTTTGTGTGTGTTTTGCAATAGTTCATGCAATGTTCAGTGGTACAAGTATATATTTATAATATGGTATGGCAGATTAAAGTTGGTTTCAAAGTTTTTGAAACTCCTCTCACTGAGTGGTGGGGATTTGTATTGCCTCCTTTTGAATCTGTGTCAGCTCTGTGACTAATTTGGCCAACAGAATATAGTGAAAGTGATGGTATGTCAGTGTCTATGACAAGTCCTTACTTTTGGCTGGGCATGGTGGCTCACGCCTGTCACTTTGGGAAGCTGAGGTGAGCAGATCGCTTGAAGCCAAGAGCTCAAGACCAGCTTGGCCAACATGGCGAAACCACCTCTCTATAAAAAATACAAAAATTAGCTTGGCATGGTGGCAGGCGCCTGTAATCTCAACTACTCAGGAGGGTGAGGCAGGAAACTTGCTTGAACCCAGGAGGCGGAGGTTGCAGTGATTCACCTTCCACTTCAGCTTTTAGACAACTCTCACTCATGAAGTCTTGAGTCACATGGTGGAAGTGTGATGGGGAGACCATGTGGAAAGGCCCTCAGATCTCATGGACAGACAGAAGGGCCCAGATGAACCCCATGTTCCAGCTGTCCCCTACAAGGAGCGAGGAAGGTGACTGAAGTGTTATTGAATCCCCTCTGACCAGTCTGGCTGAGTTGTTAAGTGAATACCACTGAAAGACCTTATCTAAGGAGTAGAAAAGTCACCTAGCTGAGCAGGGCTAACAAAATTGTGAGCTCTAATAATATGATGATTTTTTGAAAGCACTAAATTTTGCAGTAGTTTGCTATGTAACAATAGATAACTAGCAAATAGAGGCTTTTTTTTTTTTTTTTAACCAAAAGTCATGTATGAGCAAAAGCGTTTGGTGAGCACTGTTTAATGAGAAGATTAATGGGGTCAACATGTTTGAGAATGACTTAGTGGTTCTCAATTTTCTATTTACTATTAAGTTTAGTAAGGATAGACCTAGATGGATAGTAAACTAATCAATTGTAGAACTGTTCTGGGTACGATTTCTGGCACAGTTAATTGTTTAAAACTTTTCCATTTTCAACAGCTAAGTGCCTAGATGTTTTATAGATGTAACCAAAGAATGTTAGAAATTTTTTCAAGTTTACTGATTCCAATCCATTATGCATGATTCCAAGGGTTTTGACTTCTTTATAAGCAGGACTGAGAAATGAAAAGAGGACAGGCTTTGAAGTTGGGCAGATCTAGCTTTCAAGTTAGGATCTATGGCCTTGAGGCTGTGACTTGATTAAGTTACTTAATCCTTCTGAGCCTCAGTTGCCTCCTGTGAAACAGGATAAATCTTAACTTGGAGGATTGTTATGAGGCTTAATAAGTAGCCAGTAAGTTATAACTTCTAATATTATTTTATTTAAAAAATATTTCATTGACATGTTAAGGTTTTTAAAGCAAAAGGTTTAAATTTAGCAAACAGTTTATTATGAATAGCATAGAAGCATGGGTTATTACTATATTTTTATCTCAAATATTAATATTTTTGGTGCATTTTTGAAACACAGCCATGAATATTTTTCAACTCAGACACCTGTTTCAAGTGGGAATGAGGTGGTTGAGAGAGTTTATTAGAGGCCAACTTAAAACCACTTGCTCAGGATGAGTTATAATTTTAGCCAGACAAATGGTAAAAAATGATTTTTAAAATTATGATCTTTTAAGTGTTTTCCAGGAAGGACTATTATCTATCAAACACTACATACCTGACAGCACTAAATGTGTGGTCACATCTCTGTGGAAGCTCAATATAATTGGGGATGATAAAAATAAACGTATTTTTCTGAGTGTTTACCTTTGTCAGGTAACAGTGATGTAAATTATCTATTAGTTCAAGCTTTAATATGAAGAAAGATCAATCTGTTGAATATGAGTATGAAGAAGAGCTGTAAGATGTTGTCCACCATAGGCCACTGTCCTTAAGTCAATCTATACAAGCCCATTATTGTTATTATGGTAAAAACACAAAATTGACCATGACCATGGTCACCATTTTTCTTTTTTTGAGACAGTATTTCGCTCTTGTTGCCCAGGCTGGAGTGCAATGGCGTGATCTCAGCTCACCACAACCTCCACCTTTCGGATTCAAGCAATTCTCTTGTCTCAGACTCCTGAGTAGCTGGGATTAAAGGCATACACCACCACACTCAGCTATTATTATTATTATTATTTATTTTTATTTTTATTTTTTTAGTAGAGATGGAGTTTCTCTGTTGGTCAAGCTGGTCTTGAACCCCTGACCTCAGGTGATCCACCCACCTCGGCCTCCCAAAGTGCTGGCATTACAGGCATGAGCCACTGTGCCCAGCCAATGGTAACCATTTTTAAGTATACGATATAGCAATGTTAATGATAGTTACATTGCTGTGCAAAAGATCTCTAGAACTTTTTCATCTTGCACAACTGAAACTCTACACTTATTGAATAAAAACTTTCCTTTTCCTCCCAGCTTCCTCCCCTCAGCCTCTGTCAAACACCATTGTATTTTCTGTTTCTAAACAAGCTTATTCCTTTTGCAACCCAAGGCTTCATCCTCTGCTTACTTCCTTGTGTTTATAGATGATACCTCTGTTCACTCAGTTCTTCAATTCACATCTCTGTGATTTAGCTTTGGCTCCTACGTTGACTTTGCCATGCATGTCAAGTAACTGTGTCCAGTTACATGGTTTGAATAGCCTCATCATTTTGCTTTCCAGAGCAATCTTTTCCACTCTTGCCTACAGCTTTGCCTTCAGTGACACACTGCCTCAGAGTTTCCAAAGATTTTCCCAGATTACCTTCAAAAACTTTCTATTTGGAGCCCTGGGCTACCAGCCACCCTCAGATGTAGGCTGAGACTATTTCTTGCAGCGACACATCTACAGATAAATAGATCTCCCCAGCAGTTAGAGGTAGTTAAGTCTAGTGGGAAGTTAAACATATGAAATCCTGCCTGACTATATGCTTGATGGAGAATAAGATGGTCTCAGCACCATTTCAGGGTTTTCAATCATTTAAAATAGATGCTTGGGTTTAATATAGTAGTCAATCTCCATCAAGCATATTCAGAAAACCTTGAATCATTAAATTCAGCAAACCTGCTTATGATCATTCAATTCAACAAACCACTGCTCATGTGGCACTCATGATAGCAGTTTGAGAGATGAGAGAGCTTTAGAATGTCTTTGTTCCTACCAAGAACATTTCCCTTGAATGTTTGAAGGTTGATGAACTTGGTCAAAATCATGCAGGGGCATATTGGGTGTCTATGGTCACGTTGCTGATAATTTATGTTGCACTTTATAGGCTTTTATATTTTTCATGATTCTTTATACACTCTTCATGAAGTAGAGACTATGTATAGGAAGCTCTTTTCATAAAAGGCTTTTAAAATGGGAGCTTGTAGAGAATTAATATTTCTAGACAGTAAAGACTTTTGAAGGGGGGCTTTACTTAGCTTCCTGAGCATTGCGTATAATCAAAATGTAGATGAAAGTTCTCAGTAATTAATCACACAAGGCCAGGAATGGCGGCTCACACTTGTAATCCTAGTACTGTGGAGGGCCAAAGCAGGAGGATCGCTTGAGACCAGGAGTTAGAGACAAGCCTGGGCAACATAGAGAGACCGTGTATATACAAAAACAAAACAAAACAAAAACAAAAACAAAACACTAGCCTGGCATGATAGTTCACACCTGTAGTCCAAGATACTCAGGTGGCTGAGGTAGAAGAATTGCTTGAACCTGGGAAGTTGAGGCTGAAATGAGTCATAATTGCATCGCTGCTGTCCAGCCTGGGTGCCAGAGAGATACCCTGTCTCCAATCAGTCAATCAATCAATCAATCAATCAACCAAGCAAACCACAGATATTTACTGGCTATCTAATGTGATGGTTTTTCAGACCAGGTTGCATGAGAAAAACTTGGAGAACTATGGAAATGTAGTTTCCCAGGCACTGTTCCTACAGGTCCTTATTCATCAATTCATTGGGTTTAATAATGTACTTTAAGGACAGATGCCCGGAAAAGGAAGTGGCTGAGAAATTGAAACTAGTGGAGAAAGGGAGGACCCACTGAGAACCATCCCAGCAACCCCACCACAGCTGGTCTTCCCTGGACACCATGAACCACGCTATCCAAACCTTCTTCACTCCCTCCAACACCGACCGTCCCCCCAACTATGAGATGCTGAAGGAGGAGCGTGATGTGGCTGTGCTGGGGGTGCCCCATCACCCGGCTCCCCCAGCATCCACCGTGATCCACATCCGCAGTGAGACCTCTGTGCCCGACCATGTCGTTTGGTCCCTGTTCAACATGCTCTTCATGAACTGCTGCCTGGGCTTCATAGCTTTTGCCTACTCCGTGAAGCCTACGGACAGGAAGATGGTTGGCGACCTGTCCGGGGCCCAGGCCTATGCCTCCACCACCAAGTGCCTGAACACCTGGGCCCTGATTTTGGCTATCATCATGACCATTCTGCTGATCATCTCAATATTGATCTTGCAAGTCTAGCGATAGATCAAGAGGAATCATCCAGGCCAGGGGCTCTGCCTGTGACCTGTTTCCCAAGTGCTCCGTTTCCATTCCTCACCTGGCCCCTGAGGTGAGTCCTGTATCAGCCCTTTATCCTCACACACTTTTCTACAATGGCATTCAGTAAAGTGCATGTTTTCCTGGTAAAAAAGAAAAAAAATAAAATAATAATGTGCTTTGAAATTTTTTATTGTGGTAGAATATGATTAACCTGAAGGTTACCATTTTAACCTTTTTAACCAGTTGAATGAAGTACATTCCCATTGTTACACAATCATCACCACTATCTGTCACCAGAACTTAATAATGTGCTCTTTAGAAACCCTTGGTAAATATGAGGCAGGGAATTTTAACCATATTTTGTAAAACATTGATATATTGTGAGCTTAGAGTTTTGCTAAGCATAATATGAAAAGCAAGATATGTGAAACATGATTCCTGGGTTCATGCAGTTTACTCTTCGGCAGAGGAATGAAGAATAGTACATATGGGATAATTAGGAAGTAAACCTAGAAAGAAGAAGTTTAAGAGATACATGTATATATACACAATGTACAGATGGGTGGGTGTTAGAAGTCAGACAATCACATAAATATGTTTGAAAAATAATAAATGCCATGAAGGGGTGGGTCTTGAGGGTGGCTGCAGAGGAGTATAGAATATTGCTAGGCATCAACACAATGGTGGACTGATCCCAGGAGAAGGAAATAATATGACCAGTAAGAACCCTAAATCTGTTTGTTCAAAGATTGAAAATTAACTGATACAAGTCAAAGTTTACACTTACATTAAAGATATTTCTCATTCGAAAGTAAGGAAAAAAATCACATTTCATAAATTTTTTAGCAAGGAGCCAAATAGATAAATAATCACAATAGTATCATTTGTGGTTTGAGTCACATTGTCACAACAAAAATTCATAGATTGTTTCAAGTGAAGATTAACCAGATGAGAGTTATTAAGTTGCTAAGGGCTCTTCCTTGCAGCCAAAACATTAACCAGGATTTCCTCTTTAATGGTTCAGAGTGCCTGCACCTGACATTCTCAAGACTGCAGACCACAATTTAGAATTTAAACCTCTAGACCTCATCTAGGATGGGTGAGGGCCAGTTTCCTAGCACTGTGAAGCAGAGAAGGGTCGAGGGTTCTCAATAATTTCTCAAAAAATCTTTTTCCCAATAGTTCTTCTTCCCACTCCCTTCCCCTTATCACTTTGAGGAGCAGAGCTGTTTGAGAAATCTGTAGCATACGTCAGTTTGTTTATCTTTCCCTTTACTGATTTATGATTCAGATTTCACATTTTTGTTACTCCTCCTCCCTCTTTGCTGTGTTCTTCTGTGTTTCTCTCTTTTAAAAATCCTTTTGCTATTGAGAGAGCGTCTCAGAGTTGAGGACACTACCATGGTTTGAATTCGTTCCCTCCAAAATTCAGGTGTTGCCAATGTGATAGGATTAAGAGGTGGGGCCCTTTAAGAGGTGGCTGGGCCACCGGGGCTCCTCCCTGGTGAATGGTGTTAAGGCCCTTATAAAAGAGCCTTCCCACAGCTCTCAGCTTGTTTGTCTCACCACACGAGGACTTGATGTTTCTACGCTTTGGTGCGTGCAGTGATAAGGTGCCATCTTGAAAGCAGACCAAGCAGCTCTCTCCAGACAACTGAACCTGCTGGCAGCTTGATCTCGGACTTCCCAGCCTCCACAATGGTAAGAAAGAAATCTCAGTTTTTAAAATGAATTACTCAGTCTCAGGTATTTTGTTAGAGCAGAACTAAGATACTAATAGGACATGACAACTAAATGTAATGTGGTGTCCAGGCTTGAATCCTAGGACAGAAAAAGTACACTAGTAGAATAATTGGTAAAATCCAAACAACAGTTACAGGTTATTTTTTGCCATACTGTACCGATATTAATTTCTTAGTTTTGATAAATCTGTGATGTTATGTAAGATATTAATAGTAGAGGAAGCTAAGAAAAGGGTATACAGGAACTCTGTACCATCTTTGCAAATTTTCTGTATATCTAAAATTATTCCAAAAAAAGTTTACTTAAAAAATCCCGGCCAGGCGTATTGGCTCACACCTGTAATGCCAGCACTTTGGGAGGCTGAGAAGGGTGAATCACCTGAGGTTAGGAGTTCTAGACCAGCCTGGCCAATATGGTGAAACCTCGTCTCTACTAAAAATACAAAAAAAAAAAATAGCAGGGCATGATGGTGGCACCTGCAATCCCAGCAACTCGGGAGGCTGAGGCAGGAGAATCGCTTGAACCAGGGAAGGGCAGGTTGCACCACTGCACTCCAGCCTGGATAACAAAAGCAAAATTCTGTCTCAAAAAAAAAAAATTTTGCTGTAGTTATGGCTGGGTTCCAGGAAGGTAATAAAGATGTATGTGTTTAATCCTCACTTTAGCCCAGAATGTAAAGTTCGGATATTAACCCCCTTGTAAGGTGAAAGTATAAATCTGTTCAAAGTTGCATTATTTTGCTCTTGTGAGTTAAATATCAAAGGTTTTGGAGTTCCCCCTTGTTTCTCACTGGTTCAGTCTCATTAAGCTGGTTGGAGACACCTGGGTGGAATTGGCATTCTTCTCACAGCTGCAGCCTAGAACGGGTGAAATTTCTCCAGGACTTCGTATGTATTAGTTCAGTGTTAAGTTTTTAAAACCAGGCTTTTTTAAAGCACACAAAGTAATAATGGGGCACATAAGCTTTTTTTTATCAGAAGGCTCGTAATTTAGAAAATAAGTCAATTTTAAGCCTCTAGACCAGTTTTCTCTGGTGAAATTATTCTTAGAATCCAGGTTGCATTGCTGCCAAAAATTATGCCAGTGGAATGGGCAGATTTTACTTTGAGCTTCATTGTGATGCTGACCAAGGATGCCCATTTAATTTAAATTCTATTGGGAATATTCGCCCAGTAATTTTGGCCCTACCATGTTATGGGAAAAGCCCACTTAGGCATATGGCCTTGTGTCACAGACCTGGTGTTTGAGTAAAGCAAATTTTCAGTGGTGATTGTCACAGTCCCCTGATAGTATCTGAGAGACTTTTCCTTCACGCTCAGCAAATTCAGAATAAAAAAAACTTTATTTTCCCCTTCCTCTTTGTTTTGTTCGCTACAGTACTAAATTGTGTGTGCATTCTGATTAGTGATGAAGCTTCCATCTTCTCTGTTGGACAGGCATCTTTAGCTTTGTATTATTGAATTTCTTAGGCCTAAATAACGTGTCTCCTAAGGAAGGGTTTTTCTCATATGTGATTCAGCCAGTCAGACCAAACTAGACTACGTGATGGGGAAATGACTTGACCTTCTAGATTCACTTTGTGAATTATGAGTTACCCTTGTAATTTTGGACTGGATGGTTCTTTTGTTGGAAGCTGTCCTGTGCACATGGGATACTTAGTTGCATTGCTGACCTCTATCCTCTAGATGTCTACAGTATCCACCCACCCCAGGTGTGACAACTGAAATGTCTAAAGACAGCCCCAAGTATCCCTAGAGAGGCAAAATCATCTTGGCTGAGAATTACTGTTGCAGGACATGAAGAACCGATATCTTTCAGTTTGTTTATTTGTGAGATGGAGTTTTGCTCTTGTTGCCCAGGTGGAGTGCAGTGGCATGATCCACAATCGTGGCTAACTGTAACCTCCACCTCTTAGGTTCAAGCAATTCTCCTGCCTCAGCCTCCTGAGTAGCTGGGATTACAGGCATGGGCTACCAATCCCGGCTAATTTTGTATTTTTAGTAGAGATGGGGTTTCTACATGTTGGTCGGAGTGGTCTCAAACTGTCAGCCTCAGGTGATCCGCCTGCCTCAGCTTCCCAAAGTGCTGGGATTGCAGGTGTGAGCCATCGCATTCGTTCCTCTTTCTGTTTTAAAAGCACAAACGTTCTGCCCAGCTAGGCCAGAAAATGTCGAATCCCATTTCAGCTAATTTGGAGTGCCAGGCCAGCCTGTGGTCCCATAATTCCACATTAAGCCACAGTGACCTCCACCTCTCCTTGGTGCCATGCCTTTCAAGCAGCAGCCATTCTTTGAATGGTCAACCAAAAGAATAAAAATATCTTGAGGCTTTAAGCTTGGAACTTCTTTCCCAGGCCACAGCAGTTAAAGGTTGTTTATGATTGAGTTATTTTACAGCTGGGTTTGTACAGCTCTATTTATTTCTGGGGCTATCTAGAAGTCGGGAACTGACTCTTGGCCAAAGTAAGGACTAGTGGCCAAGTTAGTCATTTAAAATACACCAGTGCTAGCTTGTTTGCATTGTTTAGAGAGGTTGATGGCTTAACACCTGGTTAACCAGCTTGGGCTATCTGACTAGTGGGACATAAAACAACCACAGGAAACTTCCGCCCGAGCTCTTAAAAAACCAAGGCTCCTCACTGATATCCTGGTGATTCATAATATGGAGATAAAGTAGATTCTGTGACTAAGAAAGGACCCTCGGGAGTTGCACCTGGAGATCTCTCAGACCCTGAGGCTTGCTGGTGCTTATTTTCTCCAGGTGCTTTGTGTCCATCAAGCCTTGTGAGCGTAAGCTCTGCATAGTCTTAGTCCCTTAATTCTCCAAGTTGTATAATCTTTGCAAAGATTATCTGTACAGCTGTTCATACCCATGTGTCCTAGTGTAGGCGTACTAAAACCATCAGGGTAAAATCTCCTGCCTCTCACAGATGTCTACAGGCCACGAGAAGCCACTTTAAGTTTCATTTTGTTCAATTCTTCAAACATAGCTTCTTTTTTAAAAACAGTTTATTGGGGTATAATTTGCATGCCATCAATTCACTCTCTGAATGTATACAATCCAGTGGTTTTTACTATATTCATAAGGTTGTATGACAATTGCCTTGATCTAATTTCACAATATTTTCATCACCCCCTAAAAATCCCTGTACCCATTAGCAATTATGTCCCGTTCCCTTTTCCCCATCTCTGGCAACAACTTTGCCTCTATGGCTATGTCTATTCCAAACTGTCTTA